GCCATAAACCTAAGTAGTGAAGAATTCTGGGTCACAGAGGCAATTTTCTTATCAATTACTAAAACCAACAATAGCACAGGGTTTTGCATTCATGTCCTTCATGTGACACGCCTCCCAAATGTATATGGTTGGCCACAGCACAGTAACACCTGAATAGACAGACCTTTGACCCTGACCTAGCAGGGCTCTTTTTATATCCTCATTAAATCCAACCAAATATATTACAAAAGGTTATGTGACATGCCACTTGCAGACCTCATAACCCAACAATTCAATACACAATGGGGCACACAGGCCTGCAGTATAAATTCATGCAGTGGGAACCCCATATTAAGAACGTATATCTTTAGGTAAATTGAAAAAGAATGCTTGCATTCAAAAATGTCTAAAGTTGGGCAGTTATTACCAGTAATCTCAGAGTTACGAGGGTTCACTTAACACTCATTCAAAGTTATGTGATTAGCCCCCCCTAGTGCTTACGAGCAAGTCCCAAAATTATGAATATTGCAGCACCACGGCAGTCGTTCACCCTTACAAGCGACCGCAATGGCACTGCAACATTCATTCTGGTTATTCCCTCCCTCCCCACACTGCCCCGGGTCTCCCTAGGCACCACGCCTTCAGTACTCACCCTACAAAGATTGAGATCCTTCGCTTTCTTCAGTGCTCCAGGCCTTCGGTGCATTTGCAGACAATGGAGGCCTAAAGTACCTTGAGATCATGCGAGATCAATGGGGCGAGATCCCATACTACTGATCTCGCATGATCTCAAGGTACTTTAGGCCTCTGTTCTCTGCAACAGAGACTGGAACCAAAGATGGAGGATGCTTCCATGGCCCTTGGTGGCCCGATCCAAGTGCCAGATGCCTTTTCCAGGCCGCTGCCACCCAGATCTGAGGCAGGGGGACGCTTCCACAGCCCTCCAGCAGCCCAATCCAGATGCTGGAAGCCTTCTCCAGGCTGCTGCTGCCCGGAAATGGGCCACCGGAGGGCCACAGAAGCATCTCCCGGCTTCAGATCCAGGCGGCAGTGGCCTGGAGAAGGCGTCTGATACCCGGATTGGGCTGCCGGAGGGCTGCTGAAGCATCCCCTGGACTCAGATCCGAGTGGCAGCAGGAACGGCAGAGAGGAGATGGATCTTTTCAAGGTTAGTCCGGCGCGGCAGGAAGGGAGGGGGAATGATGAGGTATCTTAGTGGGTCGGGAAGGCCTTGGGGGCCTTTTCCATCTCTAGACCCTCTATGGTCTTCCCAACCTGAGATACCTCATGTTCACTTAACGAGCCACGTACATCTTAACGAGCAAGGGAGTACAAGATTTACTTCGAGGTACGAGATTTACTCCGAGTTTTCGAGTTACGAGTGGAAGAGTCAGGCTCCATTACACTCGTAACTCAAAGACTACCTGTATTTAGCATATGATGAGAATATGACAGAATAGAAGTAAACATATACACACAATCCACATAATTGTATACAAAACGTCTACAGCAGTGGTTCTCAACCTTTCTAATGCCGCGACCCCATAATACAGTTCCCCATGTTGTGGTGACCCCCAACCACTTATACATCACCGGGTGCCAGGGGCGTGGCCAAAGAAAAGGGGGAAAAAATGGTGGACAGCCTTGTTTGGCGACCCCCGTGAAATGGTCGTTCGACCCCAAATGGGGTCCCGACCCACAGGCTGAGAACCACTGATCTACAGGGCTACGGCAATGGCTTCATAGCTAGATCTCCAATCCAGCTATCCAGGCGATCGCCTCTGGCATTGCTTCATCAAGAACATCTAGGGAATCAGAGAAGGCACATCATGGGCAATTTTTCACAATATGTTTAATAGTTTACATATCAGCACCAGAATCACAACAAAAGGAATCTTTCCATCCCCACTGATACAGGGCAGTAAGCATGTATTTTAAGCTATAGTTTAAGGTTGCTATTCCGTCTCTTATGCTGCTTCGCCACATATTCTTCCATTAAAATATCAATGCCTTATAAATCAGTCAATCAAGGGTACATCGAACAAACACTGTTTTTATGTTTGGTAATGCCACTGACCAAGTCACATGCTCTTCAGGGCATGGGATGCTTTTGTGCCTCAGCAACACAACTGCAGACCACTCACAATCACTGCTAAAGCAGCCATATTCCGAGTGCCCAGAGTCACCGCAAAGAACGCTCTCAATCCCTGCCATTCCCTTCTCTCTACCAAGACAGCCACAACCAAAGTTGTTGGGCGTCTAATGGCATACAAATCTGATTCATAAATAGATTTAAAAAATAAAACCAAAAATCCATAGTGGAGCAACCAGGATCACTATCATTACCACTGGGAAATTTATAGTTTGCAGTTTTATACAGAGCCAGTTTGGTCTGATAGTTAAGATATCTAGAAAGTGGGAGACTGTGAGTTTAGTCCTTCTTCTTAGCCATGAAAGCCGGTTAGGTGACCTTGGGCCAGTCATTCTTTCTCAACCCAGCTCACCTTACAGGGTTGTTGTTGTAGAGAAAACAGGAGGAGAATGGCCTATTAAATATGTTTGCCACTTGAGTTATTTGTAAAGGCAGGATACAAATATATATAATTTCTATGATTGGCTGACTGGCTTAAAGTGTTTGCACAATCTACGACACCACCACTACCTTATGTATTTATTAAAGGGCCACCTTAAGAGATAGGCCAGACAGCAAACATGAGCAGATCAGCTAATTCTGCTTTATTGTAAGGTTATATTAACAGAATTTTGCAAGATTGAAGTATTTCTCTCTCTCTCCTTCTTCTTTACAGTCCCCAAACTAAGAGGGTCTCCTCTGAGTCTCTTGCCCTTCCTACATTCCTACTGCATCTGTTTTTTTATCTGTTTTCTTGGTTGCATCTCCTTGCCCTGCTTCCCAAGGTCATTCTCACATACCATTGCATTTAGTGTGTAGCAATAACAGGGCCAGTTTCAATAAGCTAAACCTGCTTCATCAGTAGCTTGCATATACCGTGGTCTGTGTTGGTTTAGCTGCAGCACAGAAATAAACATGGAAATGCAAAGACCCCACCACCTTGAGTGGAGGGGCATTGCACCATCACTTCACAACTACCTTGGAGGCCCAACAGCACCAGAGAGCAACTCTGTTTCACAGATAATGGAATCCCTGGTTTCTGCCCTCCTCTGTTTGCTAAACATGGACCGTGCATCTATCTGTATTGTCACAGAATGGCAGAAAGCCAGTTTGCTCCAGTGGTTGAGGCATCAGGATAAAAACCAGGAGACTGTGAGTTCTAGTCCTGCCTTAGGCACGAAAGCTGGTTGGATGACTTGGGGCCAATCCCGCTCTTTCAGCCCAGGAGGTTAAGCTGAATGACAAGCTGGTTGGTCAATTCCGGTGGCAACCAATGGATCAACACAGGGTTGATCAAAAAAAAAAAAAAAAAAAGCAGATCCTGAACTTGCAGGAAGCATTAGAAAGAAAAAAATATAGTTAGACAGTACCAGGTGAATGAAGTCCGGTGAAGTCCTAAAACTGGCCCATCTCCTGAATAGCTACGAAAGGAAAGAGGTAAAAACCCCAAATGGGGTTCAAAGAAGGCACATTTTGGATCATGGAGAGTGAGTCTCCTACAAGAAGAGTTGGACTAAAGATTTATTCAGTATTTTTAATGAGCAGATGGCTGTCCCAGTCTGGAGCTCCAGTCCGGGCATCCCAGGGAGCTTAAAAGAAGTCCCAGAAAGGGAGTGTGAGTTTCAATAAAGGAGAATATTTGTGGCTCAGGGTCGCAAATGAGGGGCTCCTTTGGTGCTCTCTGAGCTTGGTTGTTTTCTTGCAAAGGTTTCATTACCCAAACTTCTTCTTCCTCAAAGGAAAAAACATAACCCCGTTGCTTTTTTAAAAAAGGCGCCTTTGAGATGACCATGACTTGGATGACTGAGAATCCCCATATAGGCAACCAAGCTCAGGAAGTGTGAGTTGCACTGGCGAAGCCCACAATCTGCTTAGAGAAGAGCAGGTTCACCCCCATTAAATCTCTGCCCACCATTCTTCCTTTTGGAGCGGCACAGCAGAAGCGGAAGCCCCTTCCCTGCTCAACAAGGCAACCTAGTTTTCCATGGCAGCTGGCAGCCGGGTGGGCATAGAAGGGCAAAGAGCCGCTGGCAGCTGCTGCTCTTCTGGAGGGGGAGGGAGCCAAGCCTTTGCTTCGGATCCTGACAAGTTGTAGCAGCTGCTCTTCTCTCTCTCGGCCAGCCGCTTGGCACAACTCACACACCCTCGCCTGGGTGGGAGCCGAAGGGGGTGGCCAGCGGGCTGCCCCTCCTTTCCCAATCCCACGTGCCCCTTACATGCCGGACTGTAAATCCCATCACTCGCAGCCGGCAAAAAAAAAAAAAAAAAAGCGCCCTCAGAGTCAGCTGCGATGCCAGCCTTGCCCAGCTGGGAAGGCTCTTCTGGATCAGCACAGCTTCTCCGCGTCCCACAGCTGGATTGTACCTCATCTCCCATCATCCCCACCAGCCAGCATGGGTTCTGACATCGAAAGTCTAACATATCGGGGAAACGGCGGGAGACCCTGCACCCCACTCGGCCAGAGAAGGGGACGGTAGCCGCGACCTTCTTCAGCCAGAGACCCCTTTCCCGGGACGGGACGGGGCTTCTCCTTCCCCCGGGAGCCGCTGCCCGGGGCCCACAGGCGTCCGGGTCTTTGGCGCGCAACTCAAAATAGTTTTAAAGACTAAAAGGAGATCGCACCGTCCAGCCTGCCCAGCCCTCGCCGGATTTCACCCGCTCCCAAATGACAGCCGGGCAGATTCCAAGCGAGGGCGCGGAGGGGGCCCAGCTAGGTCCTCCCTCCCTCCCTCCCTTTCTTCGCCACCCAGGGGGCTCCATTAATCCCACTCCGAGCCGGGCGGCAGGAGGCAAATGACTCGGGGCGAGCCAGCCCAGCGCTCCGGCGCCCCGACCCGACGCAACCCTTCTCCCAGCCCGAGGTCCCAAGGCACGCCAGACATGAGCTTACCGGCGTCCTTGCCGCCCGTCCCGACTCCCTCGCCGAGCCCCGGCGGCCTTTCTCACCTGCTCCTGCCGGCCGGAGGGAGGAGGCGGCGGCACCCGGAGATTCGCGCCTTCCGAGCCGGGATAAGCCGCGAGAGCCCAGTCAGTTTCGCCGCCCGGCGCGCCCCCCTGGAGGGAAGCTCCGTGGCAACCGCCCAGCCCTCCTCCTCCTCCTCCTCCTCCCAAGCGAAAGGTGGGCGAGGGGAAAGGGCAGCCCCGTTTGGGAGCGACGAGTTCCTCCCCCCGCCCCGCCTCCGCCCCCTCGCACTTCGCCTCGCTTCTCAGCAGCCGACCCGGCGCTTCCCCGCTCGCCTTTCCCTCAGCGCTCATTCAAGGGGAGAGCGGCCCGCCTGCCCCAGTGAAGAGGGGCGGAGCCATCGCCGGGCGCTTGCCGAGGCGGGAGGGGGAGAAGACTCCTCATTGGTGGGGCGGGGAAACCCTTCTTGAGTGACACGCCGGAGCGAGGCTTCTTCCAGCGCCCGGCCGCCCCGCACACCAGTGCGGTTGCATCTGCCGAGGAGGGATGAGCGGCTGCGGAGGGCGCTTTAATCTTCGCTGTAAAAGAAGGGATCGCCACAAATGTAAAAGATAGAAACACGCTGATGATCTCTCTCTCTCCCCCCCCCAGCAAACCCTTCTTTTAGGGATCTGGAAATAATCGCTGCGCTTAGGAAGGTGGGAGGCGAGGGGGGTGGAGGTGAGAAACAAGGCTGTTAAGAAGTGGGCACAGCGGGAGCGAAAAGCTGAAGGCTTTTAATTCCGTCACTTCTTAGCATGCAAGAGAGTCGTCGGGAAGCCTCTGTCCTCATTTCGAAGACGACACGGTCGTCTGATCGCGGCCAAGCCGTCGGACGCCGCGTTGCAATTGCAGGCGGCTGCAAGCTAAGGGGGCGGCCCGGATCCCGGTTTGTGGCCATTGCAACTGAGGTCGGAAAGTAGCGGCTGGAGAGGGGCCCGCAGCTAAGCAGGTCATCAGCACGCCCGGCGGAAGAACCGCCCATTCTCTGTGGTGTCCCGACGAAGAGCCTTCCTCTCGTCCCCATCCGGTGGGCGAGGCAGCCTTAAGACCTCCGCGGTGTCCCTGTCTTTGGCTACTGCCCTGGCAGCGGGGATTCCCCAGACAGAGGAAGGGGGAAATGAATGGATGCGTTGTAAAAATGCTTGGCCAGCACTTCTTTGATGCGAGGGGTTTGGGGGGGGGGGGTCTGCCATCCTAACATCCCTGCACTGCTTCTCCATGCCGCCCTGGATTGACTACCGGGCAAAATAATCACCTGCTTAAGGCACCGAGGGAAGGGGGGGGGCACCACAGAGGTTTTATCCCTAATGATCGCACTGGTATCGCTTTCACTGCTATGCTCAAATTTAGTATTTTATCTCCCTTCTTCGATTTTCATCTGAGTTGGGGAAAAAAGCATTTCTTTTAGCATGCTCAAGCATGCTTTTAAACTCAAGTTGAAACGTTTGGTTTGAAAGTGTTGTCAGGTAGCATCTTTGTTCCTGTCTCGTGGCGTAAGAGTTTTGCTTCCGTTAGGAGGCACTTTTGTTGGGCTCTGTTTGGGGCATCAGTTGGCCTTAATCGGGTCCTGACTACATGGAAACATTTTTCACAACCCTCAAAATCCAAACTTACCAACTGTAGTAAGCAGTGCAGAGCCTCTTGACAGTAAGATGTGCAATGTATAAATTTAATAAGTAACTAAATAAAAATGAATTAGTTTAGGCTAGTGTTTCTCAACCTCAGCAGCTTTAAGACAGGTGCACTTCAACTTCAGCGTGCCAGCTGGGAATTCTGGGAGTTGAAGTCCACACATCTTAAACTTGCCAAGGTTAAAAAATTTTGGGTTAGACTTCCCCACGTTTCAGGTAATCGGGTGTGCACTAGGAAGAAAACTGTATAAAGGCAGAGCAGAGGGGGCCGTGGTGAGGGGGCCACAGTGAGTTGGCCCCCTCACCACGTGATGAGTTGTCCTATTCCGAAGTGGTCTGGAGGCTCCAGTTTACCTTTGGATAACTTATCTCTTGAAAATGGTTTGCAATTATTTGATGGCCATTGTTAAGCAAATCATGGCTGAGTGTGATAGGTGAGCCTTCTCTTTGCAGCACATTCAGTTCACTTTCTGTGGGAGGGTTTGAGGGACATCTTCTATGACATAGTTAGCTGAAATCAAGTAGAAATCCCTGTCCTAGATTGGGCCTCTCTAAATGACAGGAAGTGTGATACATATTCCATTATATACAGTATATTTTAAAAAAACAAACTCCCTGCACATTAAAAAAAACAGCATGTCTAAAAGCTGTTGGGCCAGCTTTTTCTGCCTGGCACACCATTTTACTGGAGGCAAGGTGGACAACATTAGAAAAGTCTACATCGGGTAGGCAATTGTGGCTCTTTTATGACTCATGGACTTCAACTCCCAGAATTCCTGAGCCAGCATGGCTCAGCTTGGAAACCTTTCCCTTTCCCCTCAGCATGGCTGGCTCAGGAATTCTGGGAGTTGAAGTCCATGAGTCATGAAGGAACCAAGGTTGCCTGCCCTTGGTCTACATTCTCAACAGCAGCATGAAGTAAATGCAAAGGAGTGTCTTTCCTCGAGTATATGAACTTCAACTTGAGTCTATCTTTTTTGCCTCATTTGCTTCCAGGTTGGGAATTGTGATCTTACTCAGCCCTGTCCTTCACAACCCAGGCCTTCTTTCTGTCCATCAAGAGAAGGACTATAAACCACTACTATTTCCTTAAGACGGAATGGGACAACTCTCCACACCCAGCTCACTGTGGCCAGCTCACCACAGGACAATTCGCCATGGCCAAGTCACGTTATTTAATCATTTAAAATAATTTAAAAATTATTTTAATTTCTGTCATTCACATTTCAGTTTATCCCTCGTTTTGCATCCTTTATTTAATGATTCTATTTCACCATGTCTTCGATATTATGTAACTTTTGTCCCACGGCAAGTTGTCCCATGATGAGTTGGCTGTGGCAAATTGGCCCATGATGAGTTGTCTGTGGCGAGCTAGCTGATATCCACCCAGAGACTGTGCAGCTCCCATCCAGAAGATGTTCAGAAAGCAACTCAAAATATGGCTGTTCTCTCAAGGCCCCAGAGTAGAGAGATGATGGAGCCTCTACAGCAGGGGTCCTCAACCTTGGCAACTTTAAGACTTGTGGACTTCAACTCCCAGAATTCCTGGCTGAGGAATTCTGGGAGTTGAAGTCCGCAAGTCTTAAACTTGACAAGGTTGAGGACCCCTGCTCTATAGGATGGTTTTTTTTTGTTGTTGTTATATGGAGTTTGCCTATTGGCTGTTTATGTTCTGTTTCAAATTTATTTTTATTATTTAAATTAATGTAAGCCATCCAAAGTCATCTTGAGTCAGGCAGTCTCTAAAATTGTTTAAATAAAAAGTAGGTTAACATGTTATACAAGTTACAAGACAAGTGTTACATCCCACATCAATAGCACGAGCTCTTCCTTCTTATATTTATTTAGCCACACCAGTGAGTTTGTGTCAACTTAAGTCACAAATTACACTTAAATAATTGGACGGAGGGGGGAAATCTTTTGCTGTTTAGTAGCTGCTTTCCAAGAAAGGACAAAGAAAGCTGAAATGCTGGGTGTCTCAGTAACCACCAAGTACACCAGGTGGCTTGGACTTAATGGCGGCGGGGGGGGGGAACCAATGAAGTTTCTCATTTTTATTTTTTATAAGAAATGTATATGTGCACAATTAACAAAATCTTTAAACTTTAAAAAAAATAGAAGAGACAAATATAAATATATACAAATATAAATTAAGAAATAAATAAATAAATAAATAATCTTTTATCAAGTGTCATTAGTTTACTAATAAATACACTACTATTACTGTAAAATAACACAAAATCTCCACCACAGTAATACATATTGCTGGATCCCTTGATTAGTAGAAAATATTGCAGTTTCCAAAACAGATAAATCATATATTTTTGACAATCATTCCTTAATACCTGGAATGACATATTTCCAATTTCTCATTATGATTCTTTTAGCCACTCTCCTATGCTCAATTCAACCATAATTCCTGATCAAGGATCAGAGATGAAGGTCTGGACTTATACTGTTACTGCCTCCTGACAGGGTATAATGATGAAAGGACTTGATTTGCTTGTTATGTTTGTTTTCTTTGGAAAATAAAAGGGTAGAAATAAGCCTACTTGCAGAGCAGTAGAACTTGTGTGAGTGGGAAAGCAGGTTTTTTTATAGGATCCTGTCACTTTTAATCAATTTATCTTTCTGAAGAAGTGCAGTGGCAGGAGACGGTTTTTCATTGTTAGATCTTCCTTCAGGTCAGAGCAAAGTCTCTTAAGAGTCCTCAGATCAACTTGATGGATCAATCACCAAATACAACATTCTCTCCCCCCCCCCCCTTTGGAGTATGCACAGAAAACTTGACATGCTGATTGGGATTGCATCTTTATCGTTTATTTAGGATATTTGTTTATTGCATATTTGGAGTAGTATGCCAGGAAAAGGCACATAACACAATGCAAATGTTCAGCTGCAAGAACAGTTCCAGGAAAACGGCAAGGAAGATCAAGAATTAATCAGCACCAGGTGAAGATGAACTGCATGGTTTTTGGTTGAAACATGTGGCTGGTCTATTCATTGCCAAACAGTTTAACAATATACTTACAAGGAGGTGAAAGTGAAGATTGGTTAACATCTGGGAAAACCTGCATGATAATGAGAGAGCCAACAAAAGGGCAGTACCAGGCAGCTACAAGCCAATAACCTGCTTACTGAATATCAGAGAGGCCAAACTGGCCTATAAAAAAGACCAAATGAAGAATAGAAAAGAAACATGGCAATGCAACGTATTACATGGCCAGTACATAAAAACATTAGCAGGCAAAGCAGATAGCAACAAGATCTGGCAATGGCTAAGAGCAGGAAAGTTGAAGAAAGACTCAGAGGGGCCAATTCTGGCTGCACAAGATTAAGCCTTAAGAATAAATATATACAAAACCAAAACTGAAAAGATCGCAAAAGACAGCAAATGTGTCTCTGCAAAAAAGTTGAAGAATCATTTGGTCACCTAATCTTGCAAGAAGATCACACAGACTGATTACAAACAACAGAATCACAAGGCAGCAACAATGATGCAAACATACCACTTTCTCCCAAGCAAGAACTGGT